AGTTGCACCAGAGGGCCACTCACAAGACTCCGATTGCCAACCATCAAAGTAGGATGTAAAACATGGTTTTGGGAACCCTGTCAGGCCAATTGGCCTTCCTCGCTCCTGATACTCTGACCCTGAGCTCCCAGACCCAGCAACTCATTCCCTTGAAGTGTTTGGTTTTGGCTGAGAAGTTTCATAACTTTATTCCTTGTATGCTCTTCCACAGTTGTGGATATATTTACAGCAAAGGCAAGTACACTTGTATAAACATCCTCAAACCTTTATATATTCTTGGATATACACCCAGGCAGTCTCACACCTGTTAGCCTGTATGCCAATCTGTGCATCTGCTTGCCGATCAGTTATTCAGGATGGTGTGGATAACAGTAGCTACCTCCATTCCCGCTCATGGTCTCTAGCCTCCACTTTTTAACCAGCCTCCCTCTTATTACAGAGTGTCTTCTTTTTCACCCAAGTTAACACTTGTCTGCCCCTGCCCCCCTTTGTGAAAACCTTTTGAGTTTTACAACAGTGGGCTCATGCAATCTTTGCTTTTTTGTTACTAATTTCACTCAGCATGACCACCTGGTTCATCCATGTTATGAGGGATTTCAGAGTTATCTTGTTCTTTAACACTGCTGTGTGTGTGTGTGTGTATGGCTGGCTACTGGCTTCTTTTTCCTGTGCTCGGTTTGTTGGTTTCTTGTCATATTCCTCATTGATGCTACTATAGTGTTTACTAAATCTTCATATAATTTTCCCCTTTTTTATTTTTGATGAGGTTTATTCGTTATCTTTGAGGTTACCCTGTAATTTCTTAACTTCATCTCAAGTTTAAAATAGCCACATAATCTTTGAAAGAACATCGCCCCTAATAAATGTCTCTTGATTTTAGACGGTGTGAAGCATAACTCTTGCCTATTGCAAACTGTCATCTTAATACCTGAACTCACTGCTCCAGAGGGGAATGACTCATGGTGACCCCAGGGGGCAGAGTGAGGGCTCTGAGGATGCTAACCTTTATGGAAGCAAATGACTTCACCTTCTTCCTGAGGGGCAGCTGGTGAGTTTGAATTACTGATCTTTTGGTAAGGAGCCCAACACACAGTACACCGTGCCGTCAGAACTCAGCTCATCATATGAGGGGCTTCAAACGTTCAAGTACATTGCCCATGAAATTTTTGAAGCCCCTTTATATTGAAAGGATCATTTCAATCTATCTTCACATGTAAACCGGAAATCTTCTGAGTGGACATCCCCTCTAGCTACCGTACCTAGCATACACCAGCAACACAAATCAAGATCGTTTGAGAACGTTCAAGGTAAATGCTAGGGAGGCCATGAACCAGCTGCATCAGTGCTAATGGCTAATCACACTGTGTGGATTCTCTCTTCAAAAATACTTGTTTACATTTCAACAGATGGCTCCAGAGGGAAATGGATTTTACCTGAATCCATTCATAATGCTGATGCTAGGGGTTTTGGAGAGTCTGGCTGCGTGAGTGGAAATTTGCAGGCAAGGAACTTTTATCTTCGCGTTCCCCTCCACCTCTTCCATCCCCATGGTGGCCCAACACGACCGAGTGGTCCTGAGGTCTCCTGGCTCGGCATGTCTGCTGAGCCTTGCCATCTACAAATTTGGAAAGAAACTGCAGGTCACTGAGAAGGGCATTGTCGAGGTTCCCAGCCATACAGAAGACGTTTCCCTCTCATCGCTCGGGTAATCCATCCCTTGCCGTCTTCACTACACTGAGTTGTCAAGAAGTGTTTCTGCTGTTGCTGTCCAGACAATTCCAGCTCACGACGCCCACCTGTCTGCGGAATGGTGATGCTCCAGAGAACATTTCAGGCTGTGGACATTCTGGTGGTGTAGCGGTGGTGCACTGGGCTTCAATCCATGGGGTGGACAGTTCAAACCCACAAGTGGCCCCGAGGAAGAAAGATTGGACTTTCTACTTCCGTAAACAGTTAGGCTTGGAAACCCAGAGGGAGCCGCTATGAGTCAGCATTGACTCGATGACAGTGAGGCTTTTTAAAGACCCTTCAGAAGCAGATCGCCAGTCATGTCTTCCGAGGCACCTGGGGTGGGGGTGGGGGTTTGACGGGACCAGCCTCTCAGCTAGTAGTCGAGCTTTTAGCTGTTGGCACCACCCAGGAACCCTTGCAGGGATGTCTACCTCAGGACTTCCTAAACTGTGGGTTAAGACCCAATATGGGGTTGGGTAACCAAATGTGAGTTTCAAGAAATTTGGCACCAGTGAAAGGCTCATGAATGCGTAAGGACTAAACATTTCATGAATATAAGGTGTTGCTGATAGCACCTGCATGTGGTGCAGATTCCTCTGGTAAAAGCAGGTCGGGAGGGGGAGAAGTTTAAGAACCCTAGAGCCTATCTATGTCCCACAGAGTCCCTAGCAGGGCACTTTATCAATAAGCTTACCCAGGTTGAGTGGTTTTCAGCGATAAACTGGTTTCAAAGCATTGCTCATGCATGTCTGCTGTACGCAAGCCGAGAGGGCCAGCAGTTGAGATTCTAGCAAGCCTAAGAGTGCATGCGTGTGGATTCCTGAACGCTGAAGCCTCAGACGACACTCGGTATTAGCCATCGACTTTCAGGGAGTCACATCAGTACTTTCCAGGTTATAAATGCCTTCCTTAACACCTCAGCTCGTCAGAGAAATTAGGCCATTGAGAGACTACGTTAAAAACCGATTTATCAAGAGCCGGCCTTTTGCTACATAATGACTTAGTGCCTCACAAATGCTTTTCTCTAACACTTATTTGCAGAGTGATAGAACATTAGCTGCAGATTTAATGTCACCGTGGTTGTGATTTGCATGTGGATGCAACATTACCATCAGGTAGAAAGGCAGAATTAGACCGGTTGGTTATGAGCGCCAGCCCTGCTAAGATCCATTTCTCTCTTCATTATTTCACCTCTTGGCTTCGTGCCTTTGCTACTTACTCCCATTATGCACAAAATTGTCAAATAAGTCCCCCAGGACACCAGAGCACCAAGCTTCTGGAAAAGCGTTTAGACAGTTTACGTCATGGGACCAATGAGGGCAGAGTGTTCGCCATTGTCAAAGAGCCATGTTCCGGTTTGTCTCTTTGACGCGGAGCGTGGCACTGAAGGCGGCGAGTTTGGGTGGGAAACACAATAAGGCAACTTCTCAGGTGGAATGACTTAAAGGTTGTCTGCAGTTTCAATGGTGCTTTTGAGATTAGAGAGCACAGGGGACTTTTAATGACAGTCCACAGAGGGAAAATGGAATGCTATTATTTTCCTCTATCCAGAGAACATGGGGAGAGGTAGAATTCTTTCCTAATATAAAATTGGGGTGGAGGGGAATCAATGCAATCACTATGGGAAAATCATTTACAAGTTTTAATTTGCTTTCGTTAATTTACTTCTCCGTAGGAAGGTGAGCCAAGAAGCATGGTGGCGCTGTGGGTGAGGCATCAGGCTGCTCACTACAAGGTCCACACCTACCAACGTCTCCATGGGAGAAAGACGGGGCTGTGGGCTCCCACACAGACCGGCAGTCCTGGGAACCCTTCTGAGTCGCAAGTGACTCCCAGGCAGTGGCCTTGGCTTTGCGGGGAGGAAGATGAGCCAGCTAACCAGCCAACAGTGGTAGCGGGCCTGACCTGTGGGACAGGGGTCATGCAGAGTGAGTGGGACATGCAGTGCTCTCCAGGAGCTTCCGGGCGACCTCTTTAAGACTTCGGTCCCTCCCTGTCTCAGTGCCCGCATCTAGAGACACTGCTGGAAATCTAGAGATGAACCACATCCAAAGCTGTCCTCGGCTTCACTCACAGGAATGAAAGAAAGAAAACTGGGCATTTATCCCGAGGGTTAGGGGTCATTCACCAATAGACTCAGGGGCCCAAGGTACTTTTGAATCATATGCACTAGACGACAAAATGTAACTCAGGAATGAAAACAAATATTCTGTCATTTGCCAAGCCTTCGTTGGTGAGGTAGTTAATCGTGCCAACCTGGCCGGTAAACATGTGGGGTTAATTGAAGGGTGGAGGGATAAATGGCTCGGTGAGCCTCGCCTTTCTAGTTCTCGGGTCTCTTGCTTTGTGATGGTTATACCAGGGGTCAGCTGCCTTAGCCAGTTCCCTGCGTTAGCTGGCAAGGCTCACTTCCTGCAAGACATCCCTGAGGAGAAGCCACATGGACCTACCCCGATGCAGCCCTGGGTGCCGGAGCACCCGTACGGAGACCTCGGCCAGCACGGAGATGCTTACACATTTACCGACTTGGCTTTCCTCCTGCAGTCGGCATCATTGTGTCTGTTTTGTGAGATGGAGGAGGACTTTGTGGATTGGTGTCGGACATAGGGGTTAATGTTGGACTTGTGGGCTTGGGCAACACTGGGTTGGGATGTTTTCTTGATGCGCACTTAACCTTTAGTTAAAACTCTCTCTCATACATGAGTTTCTGTGGATTTGTTTCTTCAAAGTCCCCAGACTAGCACAGTTGGGCTAAGTGACAGTAAAGGGCCGAGTCATGAAAAGAAGTAGCACACAACCAGCCCCAGCACTGCAGGCCTCCTACCCAGCCTCTGCAGTCACACTTCATAATTAGGCCTCTTTTAATCCCCTCCTCCGATTCAACGTTTTTTTTCAGAATTGGTCAGTGGGGAAATCACTTTCTAGAATTAGGCCTCCAGTTCTTAACCACAAGGCAGAGTCTCATATGGATGAGAGAGTGAATACACTGTTCTGCTTGAAGGCTGATAGAATCTCCCCAATTCCAGAAATGATCAGATTTTGACATGCCTTTCCCCAATAGATTTCTATTTTTATAAAGGATTGCAATTCTTTCATCCAATGAATAAAAAAAAGAAAAAGAAAAACCGGGAGCAAATTCTAGGGAATACAGTGGTGAAAAACAAGGGAGTGAAATGGAAGCCATCATTTACCATTGAAGGGAAATATTTTGTAAGTGTACAACAAAGCAAACTAACAACACAACAACAGTAAGAAAACCCAGAACGATATCTAGTGCTAATGAAGTTTTATTCAGTGCCAGCGCGCCAACTTCCCTTACAAACATCGACGTACATCTTAGCCTAACCCTTGCCAACACCTGACGCGGCGACGTCACCGAGGGTTCCCTGAATATCCCAAGCACACTTGTTTCCCTTCAACAAAACTGAAAATACAGCAATGGGTGCTCTGACCTCTTTGGGGGAGGCAGAACTAGAACCAGACCTAGGATGAGCCATAAAAAACTAGAGGAGTTCTTGGAGCCAAAAGAGCAGGCTCTTTTGTAAGTGCTCACCCTTCACATTCTGTATTTCAGAATCCGCTGGGCATGACAGAATCAGACACAAATCAGCCTGAGGACAGAGGAGCAGTTATTTAGGGAAGTTAATAAGGGGGGGAAAATGGCCTGGGACCGACTTTTACCTCGAATTCTACCTATCACAAAGGCCTTTTTAATGCCAAATAACTGTAATTGGCATCAACGATGAAAGAGGAGCACATGATGCCCTGGATTGAAGACGTGGACTCGGGTGAGTCCCGGTAGCCAGGTGAGGATCTACAGGAGGGGTCAAGATCGTTCCCTCCCGCATGAGGAAAGTCACCCGCTGCTGCGGCTCTCATCACTGCAGGCGCGCAAAGCACACGAGGAGACTCGAACACTGCCCGACGGGCGCCTGCAACCCCACCGCTCTCGTTGCGTGGACAAAGAGATGCTGTGCAGCTCTCTGGAAAGTGACTTCTGGGATTTTTATCTATTTTTTAATCCAAAAGAGAGTCATCTATGGGGGAAAATGTAACCCAGAAATAGAAATGAAACAATAAAAACGAAAAGAGCTAGTACAAAAGTTACTTTTTGATTCGACCATAGTATCAGGGTATGGGTCTCAGCTTTGCAGCCTTTGCCTGAGTGGAAATTTCCATCAAAACTTCTTTGGCTCCTAAAAACACTGGGTGGGGGGAACCTTTGAATTTCGTTTGTATCGGTGAATTCCTTAATGGGTAACAGTAGTCAAACGGCTGTCCAGCTCTTAACAAGAGTCTCCTTCATCGAACTTCCTCTCCCTGCCGGAAAGCCTCCCGGGGTGACAACAGCTGAGAAGCTTGGAGAAGCAGTGCGCCCCAGTCTCTTGGGGCCAGCAGGAAGGTGTGTTTTGTTCCTTTTCCCCGGGGCGAGGGGCTGCAGGGGCTAAAGGCGCAGAAACCTTCCACACAGACATTTCTCTAAACTGGGCTTTTCTTCTTTCAAGCTACAGAGCAAATTCATTTCGCTGAGCCTGACTTCTCCCTACGACTGTGAATGCCGACACTGGATCTGAAACTCTCACAAGAGAGGTACAGAGTGCGCACAGCTTACCAGTCAGCATCCCCTCAGAAGCCCAGGGCACAACGTAGCCCCTAAATTGCACCTGCCACAGAAGGATGAAAGGCCAATCCTCAGACCTGAGCCGTGGGGGCTGGTCTTCAGATCCCACTGTCGGGCGCCTTGTAAGGGCCAGTCAACTTCCAGTAGCATTAGCTATTTAGTTTGGTGCTCCATGGGAAATAATCGGGGGCTACTTCCCAAGGAAGCTACATTCACACAGTGGGGGTTTGGTTCAAAGTTGCACGAAAAACAGCATACTTTTCGGATCCAGAGAATTTTAAGAGGCACATTTAAAGTTCTTAAACCCTGTGGTTTTTTAACAAAGCCACAACGTGGCCTTAGATCAGTGAACACATAAGAAGCAAAAGAGGCCTGAAAACGCAGCCCCGGAGGAGGCGGAGCCGAGGAGTCAGACAGTGGCGCCGAGCGCGAGGCCCCAGGGCTCAGCCGCTCCGGTAGCAAGGCCAGACTCGGAGCCCCAGACAGCGAGGAAAGGGGAAGCCTTAGATATCTTCTGGTTTCAAACACATCACACACTTCCATCACAAGCCTGGTTGTCTAATTCAAGTTACTGGCTACCTAGTCTTTCCCCCGATTAAGGAAAAGTAGAGTGATGCAATTATATGGTGAAAAGATCATCACTGAGATAAATTCATGGGAGTGCAAATCCCTTACGGCGTTCAGCTCAGCCGGCACTGCAGCACAGCCACTGCAAATGAAGGAAGGCTGGAGTCAAAGCTGAGGTCGGCTGGGCGGGTGAAGGGCAATTCTGGCCACAAAATCCTCACACGTGGACCCTGCTTCCTGGCCCCGGGTGAGTACTAATAACCGGACAAATAGCTTTCACTAAGTACTTCAAGTGGCCCGGGATTCTTTTCGAGAGGACGTGACCCAGTAACGGGGCTCCTGGGAGCCAAACTGCAAATCAGAATTCTGAAAGGGATCATCCGTTGTAGAAGTTTTTGATAAAAAATGCTCACCATGGAGCCAGGATGCCTTACCACCAACAAAACAGGGGCATATTTGAGAGTCCGTTCAGTGTAAACAGCCAGTGTGAATGGAGGGATGGTCACTAGGTGCCTCGCCCAGGTCCTCTTCTGCAAGTGCAGGTTACGGTGCGTCCCCTTTCCTAACCCACCCCCTAGAGATACAGTCAGAAAGCGGCCTGACCACCGGGGGCGGGAAAACTTCAGAGACGGGGTGGGGGCAGCATGCCATCAGGAGCTTCCACCCATCTTTAACTACATTTAGTTTCTTTTTAAATTCCTAGAATCGTAACATACTCATACACTTAAATAAGAGTAAGCATTCATCCCAATTTCAATAGATCTGTATGTATGTAGGCCCTCAAATTACTGTACATCCCACCTGTCCTCCCTTTAGGAAGAAATCACTGAAGTTAACGTATTTCCTTGCATACTTTGAAATAAAAGCAAATGGTAAGGAATAGGAACTAAATGAAGGGTAAGCTCAGAAAAGAAAGGACAACTCAATCAAATGCACAGTTTGACCCTGTGTTTCCATGGAAAGCAATGAAAGCACTTAGCCCAGGTTTGAATACACAGAGAGGGTCATGCGGTGAGCTGCAGGGCGCATGCTTTTCTTTCACAGTTCAAATGCAGGGAACTTGGCTTTCATGGGGACTAGCAGGTCGGCCAGGAAATAGATTGTTCCAGCCATTCCTGGAAAAAAGAGAAAGAGGCAGAAGTTAGTACAACAAATAGGATGGGGCTCAATCTCCCCCCACTCCCAGCATCAACAGTATTTTATTAATGGCAATGATTTCGATGATGCAGGAGTCTGTCTACCCTTATCTATGTTGTAAGTCAACGTTAGTGTCACATCACTCCTGCGGTGCCCTGCTTATTTATGCAGGCACAGAACCCGGCAGCTTGCCAGAGCCCTGCCCTTACCATGTGTGAGCTTCTGCACCACAGTCACTTACCTCGGACCCTCAGTCTCAACCTCGGTGGCATTAGACTAATAACGCCCGTGGGTCCGTGCTGACATGACTACCAGTAGCCTCCACAAACTGCTCCTCGTGGGAGTGGCCATTATGACTGCTAGTTGGGGCTGTGGTAGCACTGGAGTGAATCCATTTTTAATACCGACTGCATCAGGGAATAAAGATGTAACTATAAAATTAATTTGTTGGGGAAACCCAAACTCAAGGGCCCTAAGTACTAAGTAGGGAAGCAGACAGCACTCCCACTATCATGAGGCAAACCTGCCACGTGGGAAGAGTACCTTCAAAGAGGGAGAAGGGGGTGTCCGGTGTCCTGCAGCCGTGCTCTCCATAATCCAAGCACCACTCAGCAAACTGAAAAGGAGGCCAGGTGAGACCACAGGACGCTTTAGAATTCAACCCCCCAAGTCTAACGCACATCCCTTCAGTGTCCCGTTATTCCGAAAGCCAGACGAAAATGGCAAACGGAGAGCACAGTACGGTCCGAAGGGGAATTGCAGCAAGGGAGGCACGGACTGAGCTACCTGGGCCACCTAGCAACAAGGCTCTCAAAGACAAAGAAGCAACCATCTTTCCTCCCCTTCCCGCCCCACTCCACCTCCACCCATAAGGACTGCTGGGTAGAATTATGTCCTTCAAAAATAAAAAGTTAATGTAATCCAACGACTTTTGAAGGTTATTCTTAAGTAATGGTTTATCGGTAGTGTTGTGGTTAAGCAAAAAAAAAAAAAAAGCCTGATGAAGTGGGCCATTTTCACAGCCTCTGGGGAAGCAGACTTCCCTCTGGCCGCTCTGACGCTCACCTTGCAGGCTCTGTACAGGTACTTCATATCCTGTGTGAGGTTGTACAAGGCCAGGAAAGCGTAGGCATTCCCCGCCACGCCATGGCACAGCCCGTACCCTTTCTTCAGCAAGCCATACCGCCAGATCACTTCAGCACACTGGTAGGCACCACTGAGATACTGTTCTTCTTTGAACACCTGCAGGGGTGAGGGAGAGTCGGCTTTGTTAAAAGGGATAAAAAGGAAGGTTTTACTGAGAGGCTTTCCTGAAAGATCAGAAGGGCAGGCGGCGTTGGGGTGGAGTTATGCTATGGAAGGCTGGAGAGGAGGGAGCTTGGCAAAATAGAAAGTGAGTGACAGAGAGATATATTATCCTGGTGACAACAAATTATATAAAAATCACCAATTTTGCCCGTTTTTTGCTTTTAAAATAGGCATGGCCTTGTCTGTATAGAATACATTTTGTGTGTGTGAGTGTTTGGATAGGTGAGCGTTAGTAAGTAGCATGATTTACCTGGCAGCTTGTTATCATTAGTTGCTCAACAAAGAATACAAGTTATTTTCTTTGTTAACAATGATGGTTTTTCCTAAGTTTCTTCACACCATGGAGAAGGTAGTCATGTAATTAGGTGCAAATTGATAGTACAAACGGCATTGTCAGAAAGTAGAGAAGTGCCTTTGTAAATCTTTCGCTGATTCTTAAATCCTGATCACAGACTTGACAGTGAGTCTCGAGGGGACACTTTTCATACCTCAGGGTTAATACTGAGCATCCTTAGGAGTAGAACAAAGCCTTTTCCTTTTATTAACTCTGGTTAAGAGTTAATAGGTTTGGGAGTATGACCAGAGCAAAGAGCTGCTTCTTACTTTTCAACAGTATTTCTAAAACAAACAAAGAAGAGAGTCCCCAGTATTTCTGAGACCCACCTTCCCAGAACATAGAGCTTGAGATTCTAAATGCTGATTTAGGTTACTGGATGCTAGTGCTTATTGATAGTTTGTAGATCTGTATTGGTAGATTTGGCCACTAGGGCACCAAACAGGTTGTTTTCTTTCTATTTTCAATCATGCTTTGGGCATACTTAAAATGTACCTGTCGCCTCGGCGACAGTGTCAGTGAAGCTGTCTCTCCAGTCTATGATATGATGTCCATGTATGGCGTAGATGGATATGGCAAAAATGAATTTTAATCCACTTCCAAAGTGACCTTAGGTTAAGGTGACCAGATTTTAACATTGGTAAAGCGGGACACCATTGATAAAACTCATATCCTGGCGAAACAGCCACATGGCAGCCAAAAACCGTATACCCTAGCTTGTTGTGCATTCTTTCCAAAAATTGGGACTTTTTAAAAACACTGTGGGATGCAGAAAAAATTGTTGAAAATCGGGACTGTCCCACCAAAAGCGGGAAGTCTGGTCACTTTAACTTGGGCTCAACAGGTGATTTATTATTGCTCTTTAAAAAATTATGTGTAAGGTTAGTTTTACGTGACACCCATGTATTGCGTTTTATGATTTACTTCTAAAGCATGAGAGTACACGTACCTTGTAGGCCTGGATGAGCATGTAGATCACCCCGGGGGCCCCGTGGCACCAGTGGACAAGCAGATCTCGACTGTCGTCCACACATGGAGGATAATTGCCAGACGGGAACTTCAGCCGGCAGACGTAGTCTATACTGGGCTTGACCAAAGTATGTAAGTTCGCCTGGCTCACCTGCAGGCTGGGCTACAAATGAGAAGGGTTATTAGTTCTACTCAAGCAAACAGACCTTCTTAAGACCTCGGGGATGAGGTCCTAAACCAGAAATAAAGCATGACCAAAAGGAATGGGAAGTCATTGAGAGCTTGTGGCTTTCACCTACTGGATGTTTCAGTTCCATATTTTGTGATTTCATTTTATGGCTTCAAAGAATGGAACACATTAGAATTCAGCTCAGTTAACTCTTGGGGGCCACGGATGTATCTTATGTATTATGCTCCTTTCCAGTATTTGCTTTTATCTACATACATACATGGAGTGATTTGAGAATCTGAGTGCACGGGGAACTTCCCTATGGTTTCAAAGTTGACAGCATTCTTTAAAGGCCACAAAGCATGAGTTAGTCAAACACAGCTTTCATGATTTCACAGAAAGCAGGGGCTGGCAACACTTGCCGTGGGAGGGGACGGTGGGGTGTGAAGCAGAGGCAGGAGGTAGAGGTGGCTGGGAACTAAGGTACAAATGACACATTTTTCATAGATACAGTATATGCACTCAGTTCTTTAGGGACACAGACTCAGCGTCACCCAGAAGAACCCTGTTCAAGCTCAGTGTACACAGAGTCGAATGAGTACATTCTCCTCAATATCCAGCATAGCCTAAAGATGATGTTTTGTTCTACTCATAGATGCCTTCTGTAATAATCGACTTTTGGGGTAAAAATGAAATAATGTCAAATAGCTAATAATCTGCAAATGGAAAAGCCAATAGGTCTCCGAGTCCTTATTCCAGCTAATAAAAAGATGTGGGCCACCATGTTTCCTAAACTCTGTTTCCGTGAGGTCAGCTCAGCGAGGCCATCAGGTACACAAGTGAGATTCCAACTCACACCTGGAACATTGAAACGCACGAACTCTCCTTTTCTCAACACCCAAGAATCAACATTTACTTTGGAAAATAAAGAGGCACTGAAGGACCGTGCCAGAAAACAAAAGATAATTAAATCTAACTTGTCAGAAACCCAAACTAGAAGCGTTCTAATTGAGAAGTGTAGAATGAATATCATGGTGGGTCTCTTACTGACTCCAGCGCTAGAAATGTGACGTTGCATCCCACAGTGACAATAATCTTAAATTTTTCTGTGTTAGCATCTCTGTTCATGGTTGTGGGTGGTCTGACATTAATTATTTTTATAACTACCCTGTTTCCCCGAAAATAAGACAGTGTCTTATATTAATTTTTGCTCCCAAAGGTGCACTAGGTCTTATTTTCAGAGGATGCCTTATTTTTCCATGAGGAAGAATATGGTACACATTTATTGTTTAACAACAAAAAAGGAAAATTTATTACCTGTATATGGTACGGTAGTAGTTGTCATCACAAACCAGCCTAACCAGACAAACTGAATCCTACAGTATTCCATACAGTATCAAGAATTTCTTGTTACTCCTGCCCAGCTCGACTCACTGTCTAATTGTGAGTCAGCCAGACTCCGTCAGGGCAGAGTGAGCAGCAGGCGGCAGCGGCTGGGCTCTCTGATTAAAATGGACCTCGCACTTCCTGTCTGCTCCGGCTGTGCTGCGGCCAACAGTGAGCTGTGCTGCGGCGCCCGCCACTATGGTCCAGGGTCCAGAGTCACGGTAGTGAGTTAGTTTATTGCGCAAACCTGGCCGATAACCACATGTGGGGTTAATTGAAGGGCAGAGAGATAAATGGCTCAGTGAGCCGCACCTATGGAGTTCTTGGGTCTCTTGCTTTGTGAGGGTTGCACCAGGGTGCAACTGCCTTAGCGTTCCCTGCTTCAGCTTGCAAGGCTAACTTCCTGCAAGACA